AGAAGTCTCCCTGCGATCATAAAATGATGTTATTTTCTGTTCAGCAGTTCATGTTACTGCTGTTCATGCTAATTAATTAAAGGAGCTGTTGCTGTAATGTGCAAACAGGGAATCTGAGAAACTGAGAGGGCTTTTAGGTCTCTGAGTGAAGTTAAGTCAATCTGGGCGCGGGCAATCAAATGTAATGAAATCACTTGTCAGTGCTAAGCTTGCAAAAACTGTGAAGTTTGACTAGGGAGTAAAAGGATTATAATTAGATTTCCAATAGGATAATAACTAAATGGCAGAAAGCAGTAAAGAGAAAATATTACTTTGTTAGCTAATGGTGCTGCTGTTCGGTTTTAGTTTTTATCAGCACACTTGTAGTTGTGCTAATTTAATTTGCTTTTATCAGCAAAAATGCACTACTCGAATGGTACTTGAATGTCATTTGCAAAAATCATTGATCTGAAGGTGCACTTAATGACACCCAGTATGTTTATTTTATGTGAAACGGAGATTGGTTGATAAAATGGTTGATGCACTATCTTTCTGAGCCACAAGCAAGTTATGGAAAAAGGAACAGAAGGGTGTTTTTGAATATGCATCACCCTTTCCTTTACCATTCAACTATATGGTGGACATCAGGACAATTGCAACTTTATTTATTTTGTCAGCTTTAAAGACTCATCCAAAATAAACTACACTGGACTGATAGACTAGGCATACAGGGGGATTGCAGGTATTAGTAAGGTATTAGGAAGTTGCATATATGATTGGTACTGTAAGTAGAAAAATCCAGATCAGTTAACATATAAAGTATCTCAATTAACCAGTTAAACTGAAAAGATTTATCATGCATATCAGAATCTTAGTATATGAACAGCTTGCATTAATAAAACATTTTAAGAAATGAGCATAAAATATGATACAACTTAATCACTGTAAAAGGTGGTTAATGCAATATTTTTGTAATTCTCCTTAAAACCCTTTTAAAGAAATACTGACACTGGTACTAAATGAATTTCAAAGGAAAGGCCCTCTGTGAATGATAGATTTCTGTCCAGCAGAGCTATTGACAATAAAGAAAGAACAATCTTCACTGATGCCAGAGCTTTTCTTTGTGTTCTGTAGATATATTCTGGAAATAACCTTGTATTAGGCTTGTGTGAACCATCACCCCACACAAATAAAGCAAACAAATGAAGTTGGTGATGAAGAGAGTACATTTAAATTGTTAAAAACTAAAGGACAGTATTTACTGACAAGTTTTGTAAAAATATAATCTAAAGAAAATAGAAAACATAATATCATATCAACACATAGCAAAAATCTGGGGACAGTCCTACATGGCAGAACTGCATTAAAATCCAAAAGAGAGTTTAACAATGCATGACTCAGAGAGCTCTTCATAACAGCGATTGCACAAGCTTGCTCAAGTTTTGTAAAAATAATGTCTAAGTGTACATATTGGCATTTGGGGTACTTGGTCTAGGTGGGTTCCATGCAGGTGTTCACTGCTGCTGCTGGGAGCAGGTAAGGATTAGAGGGAGGGGAAGTGCCCAGTCCTGGCAGGATAGGGAGGGTGTTGGGGGCCTACAAAGAGCCCAGAATCAGAGGGTTAAGAACACCACAGCCCCAGAGCTGGGGTGAGTGGCTGGGCTTTCCTGGCTCCAATGCTATGTTGTAAACATGTACAGGCATTTGCCAGATTGAATTAACCCTTCCTAGATTAGGTTAACCCTTTCTAGGTCTAATGTTAGTTAAACTCCTGAGGTAAACGAACTAAAATTAGAATCACAGAAAATGAGGGTTGGCAGGGGCCCCAGGAGATCATCTAGTCCAACCCGCTGCTCAAAGCAGGAGCACCCCCTTAGACTGGGCACACTATTTTTTGGGCAATTTAAGCCTTGCTAATGCCTGCATGATTACCATTTAATCTGGCCTAACCCTGGTCAGTCTAAATGTAGCACTTATACATTCCCTAAGCAATTTTAAATTGGAACAGACTTTTGTGAAAAAAGGCTTTGCAGACAATCATTTGTTACTTGTGATACAGTTTGCTTATAATAGTTCTTAACTGTCTAAAATGAGTTCTTATATCTCTGGATGAAGGAATACATTCTTTTATGCTTGGGAACTTTTTATGCTTGTACTAGTGCTTTTGCTGTGGTTGTGTTATACTGCTAGCACTGCACACCTGCTGTACTCAAGGAAAAACAGACTCCCTGAATCTACCATCTACAAAAATCTAAAACAATTCCAGCAGGACATTCACTCATTGTTCAACATTACCCTGAACACTGTCAGAGGAAGATAAAAAGTGATTTGCCCATTTATGACAGGTTTACAACTAAAGTGTAACTAACATCCAATTTCACAGAATCATTTTTTACATTAACAGGGGAGTACCAAACTGGGACGTGTTCAACATAATCCCCAAATATCCAGGTTGTCCCCTCTCAAATCTGTTCTTCTAGGTCCAAATCCAAAATCTGCTCAACATAATAGGAGTAGCTGGACTTGGGATCAGGTCCTTCTACTTTTTCTTCCCTTTCAGGAACTCTGGCACCTTGAAAAAATTGCCAAATATTTAAAACAAACAAACAAAAAAGCCTAAAAAATAAAAGACTGCTCTTTTGTCTGGCAAATAGATTACAGAAATCATATTAGGTGTTAATTCAGATAATACCACCTGTTTCTAAATGGATATCTCATGAAGTGCAGTTTAGCGGTTCAAGACTGCAGATAGGTAAAGAAAACGTTCTCAGCAATTACTGCACTGGACTTCCCTGGGCTGTGCTAGGTCTGGGTTTGGGCATGTGAACTGATATCAGGGGAAAATGTGCTCTCAGTGATTCAACTGTTGGGCATCATGGAGGAGCAAGCTGCTTCATTCAAAAGCTGAGAGGACAGAAGTGAGATGTGCACGAGTGTTGAGAGTAGATTCAAACAAAGCATCTGTGTTTAGGTGGGCAAATGGGGGTGGGAAGGGAAGGAAAAACCTAGGATTGAAAAGGGAGTGGTGATAGATTAGGAAAATTGATGTGAGATTGAATAAGGGTTTGGTGAAGACACTGGGATTAGCTGGACATGGAGACGTGGTACAAGAACCAGTGGAGATGGGAGGAGGTGGAAGGGGTGGAAATGGGGTGTCAGACTACAGAAGTAGGACTGGCAGAGAGAATCAGACAAGGATCTGGGAGAAGGAAGAAAGAAGTTTCTGACCACTAGATCACACTTCTGTCTAGGGAATCCAAGTTTCACCTTATCATCTATAAAACTTGATGGCAAAGTGTCTCATCCTCTCTTAGTGCTGTTACACATAGAAGGGCAACTTCCTACTGTTATGCATTACTCCATTAACCCAAGAGGCAAAGGGCCATGTGGTGGTTTTAAGGGCTCCAACCCTATTGATGTCTCATATGGGCATCACTGGATACATTTCCTATTTTTTTAGTTTGCTTTCTCTAAAAGCCCAGGAAATTGCACATAGAACAACAAGAATAAAAGAACAATTATAAAGGTTGAAAAGTCAAACATGCAAGGCATAGAAATATCAGAGTTATTATGTTGGCTGCCATTTGCAAATGCATTTTTGTTGCCATCTTTAATTATATAACACACCATTTTTTGCCACAACTGCTTGATTGAGTTGAAAAGATGGAGATGGCCTGGGAATGAATCTGGGTTTGCAGTGAAATAGACTGTTGTCTATAGGACCTCTTCTTGATTTGTTGCAGATTTTGGAAGAAGCCTAGTGAATGAGGAAAGGGATGGCCAGAAGGGAATGACTGGTACCATGGCTAAGGTAGTTAATTACATACTAGGGGATTAGATTCTAACCCTGTCTGCCCCACAGAGGGCCAGTGTGATCCAAGTTAGGGCACTTATACAAAACTTTTCAAAAGGTAGATATTATTTTTCTACTTTTTATGTTTATATGCTAGATATAAGCCACTGGAATCAGATTTTCAAAAGAAGTGACTGAGAACTCACAGGCACAGCTGAAGTCTGGAAGCTGTGCTTTGTACATAAAAATCGCTATATAATGCTCAGAACTCTGAAAAATCAGATTGCATGCATCTCAGAATGGGTACCTACAATTAATAGAAACTCTTGACCTTAATCTCTCTTTGCCTCAGCTCCTCAGCTGAAAAATGGTGATAATACCACCCCTGTACTTCACAAGGGTGTTGTGGAAATAAAATCATTAATATTTGGAAACACTCAGATACTATCATAAAGAGCACCAGAGAAATGACTTGGAGAAAATTAATATTCTGTCATTAGAGCAGGGTTTGAACAGTGTGCAGGAAATAAATCATGGGGCCAAACATGGAACAACAAGGAAGAAACAAAATATTGAATAGCAGTTCAGTAGGTGACCCTCATTCATTTTGTGCACTGATTCTGAGCCAGGGGTCTTCTGGGGAAAAATTACATAACTAAGACTATACAATAATGGACTGCATAGCATACTTACATTTGGTATTTCATGAGTTTTGAGTACTTGATTCACATGCTATTAACATAAGCTCTGTGCGTACGCATATACGTGTATGACTAATATTCTTTGCAAGGATTTTGGTATTTCTGTCAAGATACATTTGCATTTTGTGTATATGTACACATGTGTATTTGTGTACATTTCTGTTCATCATAAGAATACTTCTGATCTTGACATGCAGGTAAACAGCAAAGCTAAAAAATTGCTGGAAAGCTGCACCGTTTAAAAAAGTGGCATGTAAACTGACACCTTTTGGATGTATTCTATGCATTTGTCACTTAAATCTGATATTTGCTCATACTGTAAATAATATATATTCCTCTATTTCTAAAGGCATTTACTGACTTTATAATGGTGTTCTTAACTAAACAAGAAAATGGAGAATATTTTACTATTTCTGTATGGTTGCCAGGTATGAATAATTAGAGAAAGCTGATGTTGCTTTTAATCTTATTTTTTCAGAATACAACAAATCATGGATTCTGAAGCAACACTATAAAGCATACTGTACCTTGCATTGCAGCACTGTCATGTTGGGTTCCATTGTGTTCTATTTCCATATCTGGGATCCCAGCATCTGAAAGATGTTACATTTGAGATTAATGTATTCCACCTTGTTCTCCCCTGATGAAGCTTTAGAACAATCTTTATTGCAATGAGGACGATCTTTAAGTTTCACCAGCCTTGCATATAACATTCAAGTTTCACTGGATTTCCAACAGTTTACAAAATGTGAAAGTATTACCAGCCTTACAGTGAATTATTTTTAACATACTTCACACTTTCTCTGGTGATTAGACACTAATCAACACACGTTATTAATATGGCATTGAAATTCTCTTCTGGGGTACCAGGGACATCTTTCACATGAAAACGGGGAAATTAGTGATGAAAAATACTAACCTACATTGACTCATCGTAGCAGAATACTTGCAGACCAAAGTATTATATAGGACAGCCAGTGCTAGCAAGCTCATGACAGGGTCAAATGATATGATTTACAACCCTTGTATAATGTTGCCGTCATAGCCTAATTTTATATTATTAACTTCTCTTTAAAATAACCCTCTACAAAGGAGAGTAGTGGAATATCATATACCCATTTATAGCCATTTTTTCTCAAGCATACATAAACTTTGAATTTTTTTTTTATATAAACAGATATTGTACTGTTTCTCTTCTTAGGAGTCAATAAAAATGATTTTCTTCTCAAAACAAAATTCTATGTTTTGTGAAATATTTCAGTATTTCCAGAAACTGACTGTGCAGTTAATTCCTAAGGTGAGAAAGAAAAGTTCCTAGTGATGTAACATACATTTGAACCATAGCTTAATATTGATAATGTCTTTGTACGCATAGTCTTTGTGCGTGGTTTGTGGCTCAAACACCCTTGGGTGTTGTGCTAACAGATGCCACTATACCACCCAATGCCATCAAGGATTAGCATACAAAGTATGTGATTTGAATCCATGGCCCACAGAATCCTGTAAAAACATCTGCTTCTCTTTTATAATACAGCACTTAAAAAGCACGTGTGTATATTTAAAAGGAACTTGTACGTTTCCTTTAAAATGTTATATTAATTTAGAATTATATGTTAAATACCCCCTCCCCCCCAAATCACGCTATTTTCAAGTTTACCTTTTTTCTTTCTTTCAGATCTGGGACACCTAAGCTTGTCAATACCTGTTTGGTTTGATGGGTCAGCATCCATTCCTGGTCACATCACAGCCATTGAATTCTCATTATAGACCAGTGCAGAGCTACAAAGTAAGCTATGATCTAATTTTCTATTGTAAATAAGATAAGAATACTCAAAAAATCAGATCAGAATTGGTTGTGACCAAACAGGATCTGCCTTATTCAGGCTGCTGCTCAGGAAGAATATCCTTCTTTCCTAAATATTTGGGGAATTCACTGTGTTATTCTAAAGAGTTTTTAAACTTTAAAATATATGCTGTACATGCATACTACAAC